GCTGGTATTCTATGAGAGTGTGATGTCTACTCATTTGTTTTACAACCATAATATAGCTGTAGCATGGCTCTACCACGTTAAAAAAGTAGTATACTCTGGATTCCGCAAAAATTTTCAATGTACTATATTTAATTTTATTAAAACAGACACAGAGATTGTAAGCAACCGCTAACTTACAAAAACAAGTTGAAATAAGTGCTATGTTTTAACTCATCTCATTACTAGTGAATATGCAGCGTTTTTTATCAAATCAAATCCTGAAAGTCCTGAGTCCAGTGGTTTTTTTTTCAATTGGCAAAAGACTTGTTTTATAAAAAAGGTCATGAAATTGTTCCTCAATTGGCTAAACTACTCACTTAACATGCAAACTAGATTGGTTGAGAACGTTTTCTTTTTTTTAAAGTTGGCTGATAAATGACAAAAATCCTTAAGAAACTTACATTTAAAAAACCTGTTGAATTGATAATTTCTTTTTTTTTTTGAAGTCGACTAATAAATGACGAAAATCCTTAAGAAACATACATTTTATTAACGATGTAATGTCTAATTATATGAAGAAATTATTAGATTCATTTAAGATTATTAGAATTAGATTCTTCAAAGAACATCAAAGAACACAATTTATGTTGACTTAGTTTTTATAAAAATTACGCATTATATTAAACTTTTGATTTGTGATACGTAATGTAAAAACGGCCAAGACTTTATTTTTATTTATTAACGTAATCTATATAATTTTTAACGTAATTGAGAATATAGTACATTATTTCACAATTGAAATACTCGTATACTCGTATATCTGATGGTTCCTGTATTTTTTTTAGCCAAATTTGTGAATAATATTGATTTCAATAAACTAGTGGGACATTGATCACCGCAAAGCGGCCAAGTCGGCTTTTGTTAATGTGATACATTATAAGCAAATGATGAAAGACTTGCCTGTTTTATGTATATACCGTTACAGCCTATTAAAGTTCAATGCTGAACACAGGCCTCCCCCATAGATTGTCTAATTGGGGAGATATTTGCCACGGTTGCCACGTTTGACAAGCGGGTTGGCAAACGCAGGTTGGCAAACGCAGTTTCGTATTTTTAGTGGTTACTAGAAGACGCTGCCGCCCGTCCCCTGATTTGTGTCCCTCTGTTCCCTCTTGCTACACCCACGGGATAGTATGGGGTAGAGGATATTCTTAGACCGCCACTACACGGAATTTTATACATGAATTCAATAATTTCAGAGTATTATCTTAGATGTTTGAAAACGTAAATAGCTCTTAAAGCCGTTAAAACTTCATCATCATCATCATCATCATTACAGCCCTTCACAAATCCACTACTGAACATAGGATTGTGTTGGTATGTATGTAGTGTATGGTGCTAAAGCCTTTTCGGAAACCGGCTTGTTCGGGAGACTGGAAGTCGTTGAGTCTGCGTGAGAGACGATTTGTAATGACTCTCGATAACAGCACGTAGACGCGGCTCGGAAGAAAATCGGTCTGTCGTTCTTCAAGAGAGCGTTGTCGCCTTTCTTGCTCCACCGTGACTCTATCCTCACCTTTGCATTTTTAAGGTGCTGGAGAGCAGTTCTAATCTTGCTCATACTAATGTCTGGGATATCATCGAAATAGTGTCGGATAAGACTTGCTCTTGAATCGTTACTCACACTTGCGTGTGACTTTAACGATGACGTGTACAGTTGCCCAAAGAACCTCTCGATCTCACTCAAAATCTCAGGTGCCGGGGCTTGACCAGATCCACTTTCTGTGGTCACTTTTGGAAGAAAGAGTTCATCATAAAGAATCCCTCTTACTCCATAAAGTCAGCTAGTTCTTAGCTCCTTGGGATCCTTGCCCTATTCCAAATTTCCCTAATTTCAGCTCACCGTTTTCTTTTGTGTCTAGTTTTGCGTTGAAGTCTCCCATTAACACCGTATAGTGGGTTTTGGAGGAATGCATGGCTCTAGAGATATCCTCATACATTTCCCCACCACCTCATCGGGATGTGCTGAGGTTGGTGCGTAAACCTGTATGACCTTCAGGGATTACCGTTTGGTCATTCTGAGTATAAGGTACGTAACCCTCCTACACACACTCTCAATCTTTACAACGTTGTTAACGAGAGATTTGTGGGCGATAAATTCAACACTTCCTTGGGACAGACGGTTGCTCTTCGGGTGATAGAACAAGTTGCCAGGTTCGAGGACCCTGCCCTTCCCCTCGCTTTGGATCTCAGATAATCCTATAATATCCCAGAACAAATTGTCTATCTCTTCTTCCAGCACCAGGATCTTCTCGTCAGTTCTCGGGGTGCTTGCATTATATGTTGCCAGTTTAAGTCTTCTTAAGTGGCAGCCGAACCACCACCGGAAATTCTTAGCACTCCTTGTCCCGCAGTTACCGTGGTCGCCACCGTAGCCAAGAATAGCGGGGCCACCGTAGCCAGGAATAGCAGGGCCACCGGGAACTGGGAGACGTTTATTTGTGTCGTTGCTCATGGGGGGGGGGGGGAGAGTCAGCAACCGCAGTTTATTATTGCATTTTGCGGTTATCAGAAAGTCAGTTTCCCTCTGTCGCCTTCTACGACACCCACGGGTAGATATGAGGTAGTAAGTATTCTTACTCGCCACTACACAGAAAGCTAAGCTCAAAACTCGCAACATACTAATTTACAACTTTACGAAGCATTGACCCAAAAACGCTGTGTCGTTACTGCGATGAAATCATGCTCATTTTAACAATATTATAAATTTTCAGGACGTGTACTCACGCACTGTTTATCTGTAAAAGATATGCCCTTATCATACTTAATTGGTTACACTGAAGTTTGTCGTGTAAACCTACCAGGTACGAATGCGCTTCTTTTTGAATCGTATTTTAGACACAATAGAGATTTTTTAATTAATTGGGTTATAAACATAGGTGAGGCCCTTATCGTAGTACCATTGCTAAAATGCGATAAGATTATGAGACGATATGGCTCGTTATATTTTGTTATAAACCAAATTGTAGCAACCAATAAAATAAAAAAGAGAGAGAGAGGTAGACACAAAGAAAGAGAGGAAGAGAAAAAAGAACTTGATATATTTTTGTTTTTAAAATAAAAAATAAAAAAAGGGGTTGTTGCTCGTTTTTTCTGCACGCACCATTATTCAGCAGCGTCTTCTTAATAGCAACTAGATAATAAAATGCCCCATAAGGGGGATATATTTCAAAGAAACAAAACTATGAGCGTTATTGATAAAAGTAAAGAACTCGTACTAAAAAAATCATAGAGGTGTAAAAAATCTATTACCCTATTTTTTTTACGTCCAGTGCGGCTTTAGGAAAAGCCAAAAATCTACACAAATTTGACTGCCTCGTTGGTCTAGTGATCATGAAGTTATTGATTTTTTCCGAGTGATTCTCAGTACCAGGCTGGAGTCAGGAAGTTAGCTGTGTTTCACTCCCATACCTCGGAAAGCTCGTAAAGCCGTTGGTCCTGCTCCTGATCTTATTTCGGTCGTGCTTTATTGCCGCCCCGTAGGACTATAAGAGTAGGGAATAGAAGACACGCCTGGGCTTACACACATACTCGAAACAAAAACAATATTTGGTCTGTAGGACATTATAGTATGCTGATCTTATTGCCGAGGAAAAGCATCCTCAAAATCGCGAGACATCTGGCACTGACAAGATGTGGTAAAAAACTTCCCATTGCTGGAAGAGAGGCCCATGTCCAGCCGTGCGTGCGTGCGTGGCGTACGTGGGTGAAATACTTCGTGATTTTGTAAATTTATATTTTTGTACATTTCACGTTAAAACGCTTACAATAGCCTTTAGTAGTCTTTATTTAAACTGATCAATAAACATTATAAATCGTTATCATAATTTTCGAAGATCTAATTATTTCGGGAATACCAAATAATAAAATGACAACGGTAAATTATTATCGAGAACAGGGTGTGCTTATGTGTAAAATAGGTTAGTTATTATTATTTCGGAAATACCCAATAATAAAATAACAACGGTAAATTGTTATCGAGACCAGGGTGTGCTTATGTGTAAAATAGGTTAGTTATTATTATTTCGGAAATACCAAATAATAAAATAACAACGGTAAATTGTTATCGAGACCAGGGTGTGCTTATGTGTAAAATAGGTTAGTTATTATTATTTCGGAAATACTCAATAATAAAATAACAATGGTAAATTGTTATCGAGACCAGGGTGTGCTTATGTGTAAAGTTGTGTTATTATTACAGTTACTCAATAAATGTAGACGATGTGTATGTACATTGTGATTGAGTCATATCGTCTTACTCATTTTCATGACTCTTAGTAATATAAGATATTATCAGGTAAATGTAATAAGGATGTAGCAATTATTTGCTTAATGATTTTTGATTATTTTGTTTTCAGAAAAAATCTGATGATGTGTCGTACGGTCTGTTGTTTTATTTGACGAATTGAATAAATTGGAAAATATTAAGTTTTTCAGGGTAAACATATATATGCGTAGATTTTTTTTAATCAGTCAGACCGCTACTAAACTTCGGTCTCTTTTATATTGACGATCATATAAACAATTTTTGGAAGGGTACCTCCCGTTACCAGGCCGAATATTTTACATCTGGCATATTGTGTAAATAAAATGATTTACTATATATTTAAACCCATATGATCTCTTTGTATTCCCTGTTACTTACATCACACACGGGTCAAGATGGTGTGATAAATTCTGTTAAGCAGCCTGCATACGGCGAATATATTAGTTTTGTAAGACATACATACGAGTATTAGTAATTTAGGGTATTTAATATTGACGATAATTAATTTTTTAAAGCTCACCTTACTTAATGCTGATCTCTTTTTAATAAATTTATTTTACCACATACAAAATATTTGTGTTTATACCATTGCGATATCCTTCGTTACTGACACCACAGGTGAATACGTTTTTAAAATAATAAATTTAATGTTTTAAAGCCTATCGTTTACTTTAACAAAACTGTCATCACTTACCATACTCAGTGTTAGTTGTAGAGGTTGTACTGGGATTATAAATCTGTCTCTCATTCTGCACATTATTTGAATTAAAATCGACAGCTGTCAAATCAGAAACAGCACCCTCAATAGTGTCATCCAACATTTGGTACTTTCCATTTCTCACTTGTACAGATTCTGTGTCCGAAATAACTTCAATAGGGAGTGATGCCGCTGGTTGTTGTTCGTTTATTTTTTCTACATTATTGTCTTTATCATTTTTTATACTGTCAACATCACTAACAGTTCTCTCTCCATTGATTACATCATCCTGTCCAATAACACTAGCACTTACAGCTATAAAAACAATTAAAACTAATTTAATATTAACACCCATTATTTTAATGCACTATCCTGATTTTAATCACATTATTTGGGGTCACTTGTTTCGATTAAATCATTGAATATTTTTTATACAGCGACAGGTGCCTCACTATTGTACCCAGCGACTGAAGTGTTGGTACATTGTGTGCCCTATGATATGGTGTTATCTTCTGTAAACACGATAAGATATCAAATAAGAACGTTTGGTGTGCCAATTTTTTGTCGTAATCCACATAGCCCTGCGTTATTAGTGCTTTATATTTAATTTAATAAAACACACGTTCAGTTGTTTGTTTTTTTATTTTAAATTAAGTTATAGACCTGGTTATTTATTTTTGGTAAAAGTAAAAAATACTATTAATAATATTATATATATTATTATATATATATTATATATATATATATATATATATATATATATATATATATATATATATATATATATATATATTTTAACAAACAATTATTTTATTATATACTATTCTCTATAATATTAAATTCGTTCATATTAATTCTTAGGTACCACTTATTTTATGTGCTTGATGCTAGGGATGCCCGATCTGAATCGATTTTCTGGAAGACCGATTCACGGCCATACGATCTACCGATTTTTGAATCGATTCAAGGGAATCGAAAAAAAAGGGAAGTGAATCGTATGAAATAATCGTATCGACTATAACCTAAACGTCAGCCGAAACGTAACGCACTAACGTACGACCCGATCTTTGCATACCTATCGTATTGCCGGGGAGGGGACAGTATAACTAAAACAATGTAAGGTTACCTAGCTACGCATTGAATGAGAGTAACTTCAAGTTACATCAAAAGCGGTAATGTATGAAATATGAATGTAGGTATGATAATATTTTGTTTATCTTATTATCGGGTACCTATGTTAATGTTTTATGATCTTTCATTCTCTGTATTATTGCGGTATGAAAAGTTGAGCTGTTATTTGAGAGTCAACTATTATTTTAAAATAATTTTTAATATAGCCCGCCAACTAAATCAAACGTTTGGGGTTCTTTTTATTAAATGTGATATAATTGGGCAATGTACTCGTAAAATGTGTAAACAGATGGTTAAAACTAGTGGAAATATTAAAAATTTAAAAAATCATCTTGGACGCCATCACGTAGGCACTTATTCTGAGCTAAAAGTGAAAAAAGTTCTAGTACAGCAATTATGTAAATAATATATATAAATATATTGAGTGACCAGGACTGCTATCTGGCCAGATTTAAGCTGTTTGACATTGAAATATCTGACAATTGTTGCAATATCGGTCCCTTCAGAACGGCTGTTTTCTCTAGCTGGAAATACATTAACAGATAGCCGTAATAGGCTAGATCTAGGGTGGCTGTCAAAATTATTATTTTTGAAGAGTTTAAATGTAGATAGCTGGAATTTATAATGTAAAACCTGTTTTATACTTTTCAAAAATAATTATTTGAAAAACTCAATGGATACCGTAACAGGCATTGTTAAAATAAATAATTTTGCATGCATACTGTTCTTTTTTATTGTTTAAAAATTACAATACGATTTTCCGAGATCAAATAAGATCGATTCAATGCAATACGATTAAATCGTGAATCGATTCACGAGGTTACGATCCATTACGATACAGAAGATCGATTTAAAACAAAAAATTGGGCATCCCTACTTGATGCTAATAAAATGAAGATGTACATTTGTTTTTTTGACTTTAGATTGGTACGGTATAATTACATTGGTTTTGTTTATTCATGATTATATAATATTATTTTTATAAAATACTTGTTATATATCTCGCTTTTTCTGCAAATATAAATAAAACTGTAATCTTTGACGGCAAATACAACTGCAACTATCTTCTTTGTAGCGAACTGAGATCTACATTATAGTTTATGATCCGAACTGCACCTATAAAATATTTCTGTGTGTACGTTTCGTTTGCCACCATAAAATTTCTTCACCAGAAAATGTTCAACTGCTCTCTATGCTATTTTTTTTCTATTCTGAAAGCTTTTACACGTCGTAGGTTCACGCTGTATATATGCGATATTATTGCTGTAACACACTGTGTTGATGTATGGTGACTGTATAGAACCGGAGACAATTTTAGTGGAAACATGGACAATGCATTTTGATGTTTAATCGAGGCTGAAGATGTCTATGGGCCTTAGCTTCCACTTACTATCAGGTGGATTGTGCGCCCGTTTGTCACTCCTTGTATAGTACTCAGTATATAGTACTAGCTTGCCAGACAGACGTTGTTTTGCCCTTTTTGACGACCTTTTGTCATGTCCTTTTAAAAATCCTTAAATTCAAAAAAACTATCCTATCTCTCAAGTTGGACCAAACTGCACACGGTGTGCAAATATCGGTTAATTTAGGAGTCCATCGCGGACAAACAACTTGACACGTAATTCATATATATTAAGATAATAAAAGTTATTTTACGGACAGTTTTTATTTATTAATTTTCACGCAACAACACGCTGTTCTACGTATCGTCAGACCTAGCCATAGCCGATTACGACATTTTTTTGAAATATGTACTATTTCCTGCAGAGAAAAAAATGTTCTCAGGAAACGGTACAAATATATAGGGAGTCTAGATCCTCAGAGTTCAATCGCAAAGACTTAAATCATTATTCACCGTGATAACAGAAGTAGTTTTAATTTTTTTTTTTGAAAAAAAGGGTATTTTAATTTTTTTTCAATTTCATTCCTTAACTTCTAATGAAAATTGTAATCAGTCAAGAAATTTACTTAATCATGCAACGTAAAGGAGTCGTTGTAATGGCAAATAGCCTAAAGGAAATATCTCAATCAATCAATCAATATATTCTTTATTGTATACCAATACACGTTAGAACGATAGAACGTGAAATATTTATACAGGGTTATATTTTCAAAGCCAAAGCTTAAACTTAAGTTGGAACATATAAATAATGATATACTGTAATTGCAGTTTTTGAAAATATGAGTAAATACGGCTTCTACTTTTATTTGAAATTATTCCGAATTGAATGTGGTTTATGGGCAACAACGTTTTGGCATATCGATCGACTCTTAAGAATGTGTACGTGTGCATTATCCTATCCTATCCTATCCTATACCTTTAAACGAGCAATTCTTGTATATATATAATTGGAATCTCGGAAACGGCTCCAACGATTTTCATAAAATTTATAGTCCGGGGAGTTTCGGGGGCAATAAATCGATCTAGCTAGGATTTATTTTTAGAAAATGTCTTTTTGTCCATGTTTTTAGGCAATGAAAAACTGCTACAATATTAGAAGGTAAATTTTGACACTGTGCTAATGATCGTAATAGCTCGGGTGGATATCGAGCGGTCGCGAAATCGCAATGCCTTGGTTCGCGTCCTGTCTTCTGCCGATTTTATTCCTTTTTTTTTCAAGTTACCTTCTTTTGTGAGAAAATATATTATTTCGAGCCCTTTCTTTAGTATTTTTAAAAATAAGAAATTTTTAATTAAACTAGTTGCACTTATGATTTTTTATTCAAATAACCAGTTGAGTTTTTTCTATTATGACAATAAGATCAAAAAATATGATTCATCAGTATGTAGTTTGTATCTAAATGTAATTTCCAAAAAAAAAAACAAGTAAAGCTCGGTCGTCCGGGTACTAATATTTAAAGTAAATTTTTCTTCGCCATTTGCCTATATTACTTATTCTAAGCCTTTTCTGCAAGTACAACAGGCGGTCTTATTGCACTGGAAGCGATTTCTTCCAGACAACCCTTTTTAACAGAGAACTGTTGTATCTCTCTAGCACCACACATAATCATAAAATTAGAAAAATTAAAGAAGAGATAAAATATGCAAAAACTCAAATAATAAACCGCTCAGGTATTGTTTTGTGCATTAATATAGTACTCTAAAAAATTATATTATTTAAATAAATTTTTATTTAAAAGTAACTTCTCAATTAAGTGACATTTTGTAACAAAACACTTAACCTCAGTGTCAACTAGCGACATCTAGAGGCCGGAAAATTATTAGCCTGTAAGGTCCACTGCTGGTCATGGTCTCTCTTTAGTGCTATCTATCAGAAGCCATGAGATCGTTCTGTCACTTCTCGCAGTCACTTCCTTCGACTTCTCATCAAATAGGACAATGGGTTCTCTTGCGCTAGAACGATTAAAATAATAAAATAATATAATTGGGTTTGTCAATTATTAATTTTTAACTTATCATAAGCCAGCGATAGGCATACGTAATAGAGCACCGCTGCAGCTATATTATGGTTGTAGCACGAATGGGTCGGCCCGACTGGGGAAAGACCACGCTCTCACAGAATACCAGCGTCAAATAACAGCTTAATACTGCTGTGTTTCGTATTGTGAGTGTAGAGATCCGGAGAACCTTTTTTTACTGGAAAGGCTTTCATGGCATTCCATGTTAGTCCTCAGGGGTGGCAATGCATCTGCGTTTTGATTCTTAATCGAAGATAAATGTAGATATCTATGGGCCACAGCATCTACTTACCATCAGGTGAACTGTGTGCTCATTTGTCACCCTTATTTTATATAAAAAAACAACAAAACGCATTACAAAAGATGAAACAAACCGTTAGTTCTAATGCGTAGAATATCGATACTTTGAGATCGAAGACCCGCCTACCGCCTGGTTATCCGATAGTGTAAAGGGTAGGGAGGAATTAAACCATGTTATCCACCCTTCAAAATGCATTGTATACAAGAGAGGCTGGATACTCTAACTCAATTTTATAAAAAAATTAATAATGCAGCAACGCTTGTGCTCTTTAAATTGTTCCTACATATTGAGATAAATGCATTAAAAGTATACAGACATTCCGATTAACCGGGCCCTAATTATGTGGATTCACGAATATACGTATCTAAACCGCAATCTTTTCTTCTTCTCTAAACATCTTCTACTTTTCTTAAAATTAAAAAATATTCAAAAATGAAGAATATCGTGGCTCAGGACCGTGCTTTGTGGCATTACTTGGGGGAGGCCTATGTTCAGCAGTGGAC